AAAAGACAAATTAAAAAGGAGTTTCTGCTGCCCAGTGGGTTCTGTGGGGTATTTTCCCATGGGAATCCTTCACCCTTCCTTTCTACTTGTTTTGATCTGACATTGTGGTGGGATTTAATGCTTCCAGTACAAGAAATTAAACACAGGTTTAAAAATAAAAACATCCCCCAAATCTCAGAATGACTTTTGAACCAGCACAGGCAGGAGAGAATCCCCATGTGGATTATTTGCTCTCTTGGGTTTTGATCTTGTTTTTTTTTATTGGTCCTAAAAATGTCCAGAGGTTAAAATCAGAATAATAAACATTTACAAGGGAATTTTCTACGGTCAGCTTTCATTTAGCACTGAAAGCCCTGGAAAGCCTGGTCCATTTTGGGATGCTGAAGACAAAGTGAGTTTTTTCCTGTTTTATTTAAGAGCTGCATGATGGATGTGGAAGCTTGAATTTTCCTTTATTTAGTAGTGTACCAAACCCAGCCTTTTGCTGTATAAACAAAGGGTCACATTCATAACAGCAAGAGCAGCTAAACAAGGGCAGTGACTTAGAGGGGGAATATCTTGGTATTGCAAGTGTTTAATGAATAATGGATGTCTTTTGTGCCAAAATCTTTCTGAATTTGTAACATATTGACCACACAAAGTTGTGCAGCATTTCCTGGGCAGGAGGGAGAGCTGCTGTGTTCATCTCTGTCACACTGCCCTGTTTCAAGGTGTATTTGGGGAAGGAACACTGTTCCTTTTGTCACCACATGAGCAATCCTAAACTCTGTTTGGGTGAGTAGTGATGGAAACCTGGCTGTGCTGTGTTGGTTTTGTGGTTGGTCCCCATCCATGCCCTCAGTGTAGGGATGTTCCCTGTGCTTCAGTTCCTGCTTTTTGGATTCAGGACCACTCCAAAAATTACATCTTGGGTGTGTAGCTGCCTCAGGTGATCCCCAGGCTCCAGATCTGCTGCTTTGGGGCAGGATGGAGGCCTGGCTGTGTCTGGGTTGATGTGCAATTTCCATACATGATTATTTCTCTTTGTGCATGTGCCTGTGTTTTTATTTCTTGAAACTTTGGCCAATTGTTCCTTTCTCTGCCAGCAGCCTGCCAGGATCCTTGGGGTGGATCTCAGCAATGTGCAGGACATGCAGCATCCCTGATTCCTCCTTGCTTTGCTTTGTTCTGGGTTTCTACAACCCCCTGGTACCTTCCAGCTGGGGAAGGAGCCACTCTCCTCCAGCAGGGTGACCCAGAGCCAGGGCTGGTGATGCTTTGCTGGCAGTGAGGAGCTGAGCTGGGCTGGAATTAGCAGCCTCTCTATTCCCTTGCAAGTCCAGAGGAGTTATTTCTGTGTTTAGTTGGTTCTGCTTTATGGGGTTTGATTCAGTGTGGAACAGTTGCTCGTGCTGCCCAAGAGAAAAGTCCTGTATAAATGGGAATTGTTGTGTGTCCTGAGTGCCACAAGTGTAAGGGAACTCCTCAACCTCCCCAGGAGGAGCTGCTGTGATGGTTGGAGGTGCTGGTCTGGTCTTTGTGTTCACAGCTGCAGGAATTGTAAAGATGAAACTGCAGGCTGAGAACCTGAGCCCCTGTGCAGATCTTGTTTTGGGGCTGCCTCTTGGTGCACCTACTCAAGGGATCCCAGAAGAGGTAAAAGGGACCCCAAATCCCATCTCATTCCACCCCTGCCATGGACAGGGACACCTTCCACCATCCAGCCTGGCCTTGGGCACTGCCAGGGAACCAGGGGCAGCCACAGCTGTGCCAGGGCCTGCCCACCCTGCCAGGGAACAATTCCCAATGCCCAATATCCCATCCAGCCCTGCCCTCTGGCACTGGGAAGCCATCCCCCCTTGTCACTCCATCACTTCTAAAGGATCTCTCTCTGTGTTTCATGCAGCTCCTTCAGGCCACACTTTAAAACTGCACTGGTGCCTTTTTTTGGTTTTTCTTGCTGTGTGAAGAGCCCTCGAGTGCCCAGCTGTGCCAGCTGCCACCACAGCAGAGCCCAGCTGGGCTCTCCCTGTCCCTGCTGTGCCCCCAGTGTATTTGCAGAGAGAGGAGGAGGAGGAGGAGGTGTGCTAAACTGAGAGGCAGGCAAGGCAAATGCTCTCACAGTTAGGGAGAAACATGTTTTATTGGGAGCTTTTGGACAAAAATATGGGTATTGCATAGAGTCTTCCCTGTCCCCCTCCTTTTTAGGGTGAAATATTGATAGATCAATATTTAAAGACAATTTTAAGTATTAATTTTTTGTATTATTTTAATATAAAATTTTAGGATCAATTTTGTACTTTCCACTATTGCTGATGGCTCTCATTGGCCTCTTTTTGCCAGACCACTTCCGTTCCCTGAATGGCATTCACTTTGCCATTCCATGTTCCTGTGGGAACAGGGAATGTTGGAGATTTAAAGAAATTCCAACTTTAATTTATCTCTTGGCCTTCAAATAAAAAACTTCAGTATTTCTGTTGTTTTACACCAGCAAGAAGTAGTTACCTTCTAAGTTAATGAAAATTTTGGCTTATAAACCTAAATCATAACCATGTCTGACTCTTCTTGCTTTGTTCTAACAGGATAATCATCATTTGGGTTTTAGAGGTGTAACAGAGCATTTGTGGGGCTGAGGGCTTTTTAAAGCATTCATCCCAGTGGTGATGTTTGAGGAAAAAAAAAAGGCAAAGGGGAAGCAAGGGACCTTTATGGAATGGGAGTGATGCAACACCTGCCTGGCCTGTTCACTTGTCTCTGACCCGTGTGTCATGTTGAGAAAGCAGAATGGGCCCAAACCATGGCCAAGGTGAGTGAGCAGGGCTGGGAAGTGAGGGAGGGCTCATGTCAGGGGTTGTGCAGGGCTGGGGTGTGCCCTGTCAGCGCTGTGACACTGTGGCACTGTGCCTCACACAGGCTGAGGTGCTGCTCCTCAATTCCTGGCGGTGTCACAGGTGATATCCAGGCTGGGAGGGAATGGCTGGAGGCTCCCAGGATCCCAGCCTGCCTGAGCCTGGCATGGGCCTCTGCAGGGTCACCTTGGCAAGCAGGGACACCCAGAGCTGCTTGCCCAGGGCCATTTGCCACTCTGCCCGTGTCTCTTTGCCACTGAGGAGTGCAGAAGTTCAGGAATGCTGTCACCTGTGCTGAGTGGAGGGGCAGGATCACTCTTGTCATGCAGCTGGTGGCTTTTTTTGCTGGCTCCTGGGAGTTGTTGTCATCTGTCCTGCTTGGCAGAGCTGTCCCAGCCTGTGCTGGCTCCTGGGGTCACTCTTCCCCCATGGTGGTGGAAGGACTTTGCTTTGTTTGAACACCCTGAGGCTGCTGCCTGCCCTTTACTCCAGCCTTTTAGAGTTGATCCAAGTGTCAGTGTGACCCTCGGGTGTACTGGCCACTCACCCCAGTTATTGTGTCACCAGCAAAGTGCTGAGGGTACACTCTGTGCATCCTCCAGGTCAGTAAAAGAGGTTAAATGGTTTTGGGAAGTGTCTGTCCTCCAACTGGACTTTGTGGCACTGACCTCTCTTTGCTGGGCCCCTTTTCCACCCACCTCCCTGCCCTCCTGGCTGCTGCACACTTTGCCAGCTCATCTGAGGGTGTGAGAAGAGCCAGTGTTGAAATTCTTGCCAAAGCCAAGACAGCATCCTCTGCACTCCCTCCATCCACTGGGACTGTTTCATCCTAGGAGGAGGCCAGGCTGGTGAAGCAGGATTTTCTCCCTCTGTATGTCCATGCTGACTGCTCCTGATCATCCTCTTGTCCTTCAGGTGACTGGAGATGGTTTCCAAAGTTCATCAAGTGTGGCCTCACAGTGACAGCAGCCATCAGCACTTGTGGATCCATCCCATCAGGTCCCATGGGATGAATATTTGCAGCTTTCTGTCCCCTAACCTGATCCTCTTCTACAAAGGATAAGTCTTCCTTGTCTGGTTTTCCCCTTTGGTCTCAGGGGCCTGCAATTCCTGCAGGTTGGCCTCACTGGCACCCTTCACATCCTTTGTCAGATTCAATTCCAGATGAGTTTTGACTCTCTTAGCCCCATTCTTGCCCCATCAGTGTTCCCAGATTCCTCCTGCATCACCTGCAGGATCAGTGTTCCTGAGATTCCTCCTGCATCACCTGCAGGATCAGTGATCCCAGATCCCTCCTGCATCACCTGCAGGATCAGTGTTCCCAGATTCTTTCTGTATCACCTCACCTTGCAGGATCAGTGTTCCCAGATTCTTTCTGTATCACCTCACCTTGCAGGATCAGTGTTCCCAGATTCCTCCTGGATCAGCTGCCCCTGCCCTGCTCTTTGCACTTGGCTCTGATCAGGAGCTCTGTGCTCCTCCATGGGGGCCTCCTGCCTGCTCAGCTGGATCTGCTGCTTGTTGGGATGTTGTTCATCCTGGTGGAGGTGATCCTTTTTATCAGCCAGCTCTTTTGGGTCCCTTTTTATCAGCCATCTCTTTTGTGTCCCTTTTTATGAGCAAGCTCTTTTGGGTCCCTTTCCTCTCCAAGCCCCTGGGGTTCTCCAGGCACACCCTGAAGATGATGCCCGTTCTCCAGTCCAGGGCTGTGGTGCAGCTTTGTCCCTCGGCTCCTTCCTTTGAGGGCTCTGAGCTCCATGATCAGTGCAGCCAGAGCTGCCCAGATCTTCACACCCCTGACCAGTTCTTGTCTCTGTGTAAGGATGAGATCCACTCATCCAGGGGCAGGGCAGAGATATGGGATGAGATGGATGGGATCCACCATCCCAGGGTGTTCCAAGCCTCATCCAACCTGTGCATGGACACCTCCAGGGCTCCAGGGGCATCCCCAGCTTCTCTGGAGCCCTGCAGGTGGCTGTGCTGGTGTTTATTTGGACGTGCAGCCCTGTGTGTGTGTGTGTGTGTGTGTGTGAGCTCCAGGGTGGCAGCAGGAATAGCTCAGCTCCTGGCAGAGCCCGGGATATGTGAGATCCTCCCTCTCTGGCTGCATGCATGCAATATTTCTCTTGGCTCCTTCAGCCTGGCTCTGGTGTCCGAGCCGAGGCTGTGTGTGTAGCTTTAGGAAAAGAAAAGCTTTATTTCTGTCTGATTTTCTCCCCTACTTGCGTGTGTGCAGTCTCTCCAGAAGGGCTGTGCTTCTCCCTCCTTCTCCCCTGCCTATTTATATCCGCGGTGACGTTGCGGGAGTGTTTGCTTTGGAAGAAATCTATTTCTCCGTCTGGCTGAGCCAAACTGAAAGCAAACCCGCAGGAGGAGAAAGCATTCCGAGCTGCAGGAGAAAGCAAAGCATTCCTTTCTTCTCCTGCTGGGGAGAAGGGAGGCCTGGGGACTCGCAGGAAATGATCACCTGGCAAGGACAGGAAGCCTGGCAAGGTAAACGCCTTTTTCTGTTTGAATAATGCACTGACATCCACCCCCAAAAGCCGTGAACTTCTCATTCCGGGGGGCGGAGGCGTGAAACTCTGGGCTGGTTTTCAGAGAGGAGCTGTGAAATGAGTTGCTGAAAGCCTGCAGGCTCAGGACAATGGCTCTTTAATAATCCAGCAAGACTTGTCTCATCAGCTGCTTGCATGCACAGGGATTGCTGTGCCCCCTCGTCAGGTGGTGCACAGGGGGCTGTTCCTTCTCCCCCTGCTCCCCAAATATTGTGATTGCACTGTGGAAGTGATTTCCTTACAGTAAAACTGAATTTTGCCTCATCTGTACCTTTCTAAGCCCTTCAGAAACTTCCCAAGCCTTTCTATTATTATTGTGCTCAGTCTGAATCTGAAATAAGGAATTTGCTCGATAGTTTTATAAACTGAATTCTCTGTATTGTGTTTATAGAGTAGTTTGCAAAATTAGAGCATTTACTTTTGGTTTTCTGACATGTGAAGCTGCATTTGCTACTTTTTGCTGCTTGTGAGCTGTAGAAGACACAGAAAGTAACACTCGAAGGTTTTGAAGCTGAGCCCTGGTTTTTTGCAGAAGTGCCAATCCCTCAGCAAATCTAACAGTCCAGCATAAATAAACAGCCAAGAGAGCGAGTCTGCCTCTCTAGAAAGTTGAAGTATTTACCTTCACTGTTTTACTCCCTATTAGATATTTTTAACTCCTAACCAAGCTGCATTTTTGTGAGCTGTAATTGCAGGGGTAAAACCTCTGCCAGTGATTTTTAGGAAACACAACAGACAGTGGAAGTTCTGTGGAGATGTTCAGGATTGGAGCTCTTTGGTGTGGATGGAGGAGAAATGGAGCTGTTCTTGCTCTAGGAAATCGTGGGTGCAGCACAACAGTACCCAAGTGAGGTCAGTCCTTGGGAGTTGCTACAGGTCCTTAAAAATACCAGGGATTTCTTTGACTGAGAGCATGGCAGAGATGGTGCTGTCCCCAGTTTGAGATACACACCTACCTCACTTAACTCTTGTGGAATCAGCTCTGTGATAGCCTTGGGAATCCACTGGGAATAGCCAGGAGGCAGCAGGGAATCACAGAATCATGGAATCATGGAATGTTTTGGGTTGGAAGGGACCTTAAAGTTCATTCAGTGTCATCTGTGCCATGGGCAGGGACACCTTGCACTGTGCCAGGGTGCTCCAGCCTGGCCTTGGGCACTGCCAGGGATCCAGGGGCAGCCCCAGCTGCTCTGGGCACCCTGTGCCAGGGAACAATTCCTAATTCCCAATATCCCATCCAGCCCTGCCCTCTGGCAGTGGGAGCCATTCCCTGTGTCCTGGCACTCCATCCCTTGTCCCCAGTCCCTCTCCAGCTCTCCTGGAGCCCCTTTAGGCCCTGCCAGGGGCTCTGAGCTCTCCCTGGAGCCTTCTCTTCTCCAGCTCTCCCAGCCTGGCTCCAGAGCAAAGGGGCTCCAGCCTTGGAGCATCTCCATGACTTCCTCTGGACTCACTCCAGCAGCTCCAGACCCTTCTGCTGTCAGTATCCAGCAGAATTAACCCCCTTGTGTGCTCCTGGAGAGGGGTTTTTGGTGTTGGTATCCAGCAGAGTGAACCCCCTTGTGTGCTCCTGGAGAGGGGTTTTTGGTGTTGATATCCAGCAGAGTGAACCCCCTTGTGTGTGCTCCTGGAGAGGGGTTTTTGGTGTTGGTATCCAGCAGAATGAACCCCCTTGTGTGCTCCTGGAGAGGGGTTTTTGATGTTCTGGGGTTTGAAAACAGGAACATAATCTGTGTGTTGTGACTGGTGTCAGGAGCAGAAATGCAAGTGGCAGCACAGTAAATGCCAGCCAAAATAGGCATGATGAATGCCAGGGGAAAGGTATTTGGCCATGGCTTGATTTAGCTGCTCTGTGTGTGCTGCAGCATAATATGTTTATTTAAGTTTATTTAAGTTTGGTTTAATTAGTGTGTGATTGTGGGGATTTTTGAAGGCATTTTGAATGAGTTAGAGATGGGACTTTTGAGTTGTTTTTGATGATGTGGGTTTGTTTTTTAATCTTTTTTATAGGTAGGAAGGGTGAGTTTGGTTCATATTGTTATAGTATGGTTTAGAAGGTCACAAAACTTTTAGTTACAAGACTTTTTAAGGAGTTATTTACTAATAAAACACTGCTAATAAGGATATTTATGTTTTTACTTAATTTTAAAATATTTTGTCTTATGGGTTTATGTTATAGTGTAAGCTTTTTTAGTTAATTATATTAAAACACACAAATGTACAATGCTATATTTTAATCTCTTTATTTACTTTTGTAGCTACTTTATTTTTTTATATTTTAAATTCTAAACCTCAAAATTTTTAAAAATTAATTCAACGTGTTTGTACTTTAAACTATAAATCTACATTTTCACTTTTAATACTTAAGTTCAAAAGCCTTTCCCAAGATCTCAAATCAAATCCTGTATTTAATTCTAAACGATTCTTTAACTTACAAACCCAAAGTTCTAAAAGTTCCTTACATTTCAAATTCCAACACATGATGAAGCCCAGACAGAGCAGGGTGCCCAGAGCAGCTGTGGCTGCCCCTGGATCCCTGGCAGTGCCCAAGGCCAGGCTGGACTTCGGGGCTTGGAGCAGCCTGGGATGGTGGAAGGTGTCCCTGCCATGGAAGGGGTGGAATGAAATGAGCTTTAAGGTCCCTTCCAATCCAAACCACTCCATGATTTTATGCCTTCTGTGGTCCAAGCTGCTGAGACTTGGCTTTGGTGGGAGCAGGATGAAGTTCCTTCATTTCTCTGTTCAAGTTCCTGTTTGGAATTGTAGTGAGACACATAATTCAGCTGCTTGTAGAAAAGTGTCCCTGTAAGAAATATGAGTTGGGATTTCATTGAATGCTGATTTTTTTAGGATATGTATCCCAGAAAGCAGAATTTTTATGCTCCTAGTAGAAGGACCAGGCTGTTATTTTTCATGCTTACACAGAGTTTGAACATTTTTTAACAATAAATTGGACTGAAGGTCAAGGTCATAAAAATAACGTCTAGCAGGCTAAATTTTTATTGCATTTTGATCATTGGTGGAGATGAAAGTACCGTTAGATTTTATCTGAGTGACACCAAAAGCAGCCTTTGCTTGTGGTGGCATTGCTGCCTATTCCCTTTTTTGTAGGATGAGATAAGGGGACACATAAACACACTTCCCCTGAAAACCTTTTAAGCCTTTGATATTAATGGCTTTGGCTTCCTGAGCATAATCTGTTCTTTCCAGCTCTTAATTAAGGTCATCCTGAGAACCCAGGTGAACTTGTGGCTGGGGAAGTCACAAGCAGGAGGATGAGAGCTGGAATGATGGAATTGCAGCCCTGACACAGGATACTGGGAATACAACACCCTGCAGCCCTCACAACCAGCTCCTTATCGCTCCTGTGACTTGTTCCCTTTGCCCTTGGGGCAGAGGAAGTGTGTGCTCGACTATTGATCCACATCATGCTTATTAATGACACGGGTATTGGATAGGTGGACATGTCAGGGCCGTTTAACCTTTGGATATTGACTGCCAGCTCCACAGGGAGAAGGGAACTGGAGG